TTTTTTTTTTACCAGAGGTTTACTAAATTTTCTTGCCTGGGTTCAAACTAGGGAGTTTTATCTTCCCATGTATTTAACATGCCAAGTCTGCCATTTTTCTCTGATCTATAAACTTTTGTGAATAACTAAAAGGCTCTCACATTTTCCTTATATTGAGTTAAGAAACAAGTTAGATAGTTCTTAAGAATATTTATGTTATCACAAACCAAAGGGGAGGTGTTGTTCCCTTTCTTTGACTCAGTGTTTGCTAATTGTTTAATGAAACAGATGAGGCACTTCTAGACTAGTTTCAACTAAAGAGAAGACAAGATGTTTGCTGCCTCAGACTGCTCGTGGGACTTCAGACTTTACACAGAAATTAAGGAGAATATTAAAGATGCTGGAAATGTGGCCACATGCCTACTGGGGACTCTTGTGCCTTTCGTAAGGGATGCAGCTGACTGGTTTTAAGCAAATTTATGCCTAAGGATCTGTCTGTAAAGGGAATTAACTGCATGGTTAGCGTGATGAGATAAGTGGTAAATTATCAGAATGGTTTAGGTTGGAAGGGACCCTAAAGATCATTCCAACCACCCTGCTGTGGGCCAGGACACCTTCCACCAGACCACACTCCTGCAAGCCCCATCCAACCTGGCCTTGAGCACTGGCAGGGGTGGGGCATCCCCTGCTTCTCTGTGCAGCCTGTCCCACGGTGGCCACGTGCTGACTCTTTACTGATGTCTGAGGAGATGCTCCTGCCTTTGTCTGTTCCTCCAGGGCAGCTCCCTCCAGCACAGCAGAGTGATTTGAGCAGGGTGGAAACCGTCTCCTATTTGCCATTAAACTCCATGCAGGGTGCCAGTAGCTAATCCACATCAGCTGTGTGCAGGGTGCTGAGAGCTGCCTTCCCTTAGCAGAAGGGAGGTGGGAGATCATTAATGATCTCATCAATCTCAGCTGTCCTCTGGCTCAGTGTGGTGTTATTTGACAGCGCAGTCATAGTGTGCAGAAGTAATTTTGGTCAAGGTAGAAGGATGAAAAAGAATGTATGGTTAATGGAAATATTTGCCATGTATGTCTTATGAGTCATTTTATTTCCTACACTTGCCAAAACAAGTTAGCATGGAAAATGGTTTACTAGTGTAACTGGGAAGACCTGTTTGTGTTCGTGAAGCATGAAAACTGCCAGCGGCCTTTGCATCCCAGAGTTTTATTTTTTGTTCCCTCCACCCCAGGTCCCCCCAGCACTAAGAGTTCACTGTTCTCTTCCTGGGTCCCAGAAGGAGGACAGTAGGCACAGGCTTTGTAAGCCACATCAGTACCGGGTGCTCTGTGTAGATCACGGTTCCAATCCTCCTCTCTGTGTCCAGCACTCCAGATCTGCTTTTATACCAAGTTTTTTTTGTTAATAATAACTTTCAAAATAACAGATTCCCCCATCCTCCTTCTGGATTCAGGATTTGGTCATATTTTCTGTCTTCATCCTCTGTTTCAGGGTTTTTTAGGTGAGTCGTAAGCCTTTTTGTTTTGGCAGGGAAAATAAGTAGGGGTGAAATGGGGTTATGGTTACATGAGAAGTTGTCTTTAATCTGTGGTTGTGTAGGTGTTTGAAAGTTACAGCTTTTCTAGCCAGCTGATGGGGTTTTCACATGTTTGTATGTTTTCTCTTCCATTTCAATTATTCTGATGTTCCTGAATTTATTAGACATGTGACTGATGTATAGGATGCTCCCTGAAATGCTGGAATAGACAGAATAGTGTTCAAAGGACACTTGTGTGAGGCCCAGATGATAACCTCCCCTCCAGGGAAGTGTAGGGTTTAACAAATGGGCTGAACTCCACCAGAAGCTTTATAATGGTTTAGGGTGACTCATTCTTCCTGGCTTATGACTTCTTCCTATGAAAAGTATGTATTTTTGAATATCTAGAAGAATGCACCATGCTTTAATTATAGTCAATTCTTTGAAATATTTGTACAGCACTTTTGTAAAAGAAGAACTGCTATTAGCCCTGTCACAGTCTCCTGGTGTTTTCTCCACTGCTTAAGCATATTCTGAGAAGGTTTTAGAGAACTCCCATATTACGTTCCAGAGAGATCAAAGTTTTATAAAAGTTTGAGAATCTAATTCATATTTAGAGGGTTTTTTTAATATGTTCCATCATGCTTTTTTGACCAGAACCTCACACACAATGGCAATTATACAAGAAGGATGCTGTGTATTGTTCCTTCCCTTATGTGAAATTTTTACAAATGCAGAACATTGTTACACAAGTTCCTGAAATGAGTGATGCAGGTCCCATATGAAGGAGATGAAATTTTGCAAAGGAGATAGTAGTCTACTGTTGTTATTTGTTGAAACCAGCCGGCAGCACAACCCAAAATAATTATGCTCATTCTCTTTGGTGTTATGTTCTTTCTCTTACATATAGGATAGAACATTTTTGTAAAAATGATCCTTCCTGGTGTCTCAATTCAATGAACTCTTGTCAGGAATTCTCTCTATAGTCTGAACAAAAGTAAGTTAATTTACAGTTATGCAGGTTCAATGCATTTCTGAGAAGATTGAAGTTTTAGTTGTGTTTACTGGTGCAATTTTACTCCCTGCCAGCTAAGTGCTTTGGGAGAGATTTGCCACCACTCTTTAGCCTTCCAAGGCCATCTCCTTAGCTGGCGTTTTTGGACAAGCCAGCTGTACATCCTGTATTATTTACAGTTACTTTGGATCCAATACAGTTTGTTTCTCAGTCCTGTAGGCTTCTGCTCCTGTGGCTATTGGGGCATGTGGCTGGTCAGGCTGCACTTCACACACTCCCTAGAGAGCAAACTAGACATCAGTTTTCTTCTCCAAACCTCCTGCCTCCTTCATTACACCAGGCGTGTACGGTGGGATTCCTCTCAGAGAAGGGAAGAGGCAAAAAGCCAGCCGAGAAATCCAGTCAGTAATATTGCATAATACATGAAAAGCATCTTGAAAGGGTAGTAAACAGAGAATGGATATGAAGTGTTCAGTGAAATTTGTAAAAGTCATCACATTGATGCATCATGAAGATCCTAGAAATACAAGAGCTGAAATGCTGAAACTGAGTAAGTGACATTTCTGTAGATACTAACACAACTCACAGGAAGTGCTAATCCAAGAGCGTGCATATTACTCCAATTTTAAAAATTTTTCATGTTCTCCATTTTTTTCTCACACCAGAGCTCTAGCAGAGATTTTTGTGGTGACTGGGAATTTGATTATTTGAAACAAATCACCTGTGCTCCTTTAAACTAGGATTCCTATCAGTACATACCCATAAAAAGGTCTGATTAAAAACAAACAAAAAAGGATGCTGAACAAAAGCTTTGATTCAGCAAGATTTTGTATACTCTGGCTCAGTTCCATGTCACACAAACACAAGCAGAGGTTTAATTGTATGACTTAAAATAGATAGAATTGCTCATGTGTATAAAGTGCTTTGTGCTTAATTTTGTTAATGCCAGCTGCTTGGCACTTATTGGGGTTAAGACCTTTGATCTTGTTCCTTTTAAAATAGGTGTTAGTTCAAAATTATGAAAAGCATCAGTTTTGAGAAAAAGCAAGGAGAGGTACTAGGTGTCTTCAATATGTAATGGAAATATTATATGAAAATGGAATGAAAAAGAACAAGCCAGGACTTGTTGCTTATGAATTATCTGTACTGAAAAGAAGTCGCTTTGAGGATACCAGGCTGGTACGTTTTATGTTTATTTATTTAAGGAGTTTGTGTATGAAATTTCTTTATTTCTGAAACAACACAAGCATTTTCATCAAACTGATTTTTTAGCAACTCAGTATGTTCACCTGAAAGTTGAGGCATTTGATTGAAAGACAAAGAAAGGTTGGGTGATTTCAAGTAAGATATTGAAAAGATTAACACAAGTAATGTATAAATGAGTGAAAGAACAAACATCTCAGTGGTATCTACTTTAAAACACACACATTTGATGTCCCAGCTGTTTATCCTGTGTCAAATATAATGCTACTGGACCAGCAGAAAAATCATAATCATAAATTATGAGAATAAAAATATTGGGTATAAAGCTTTCAACATGTGTGTGCTTAAGTACTGAAAATGCTTTTAGAACATAAAATTGCGTGCACAGAGTAGAGAAATAAAAATACTTGAAAAGTTAATTTTTGAAGCTCTTCTCAGAAAATTACAGATCAGAAAGCTGATGTCACTGGACATGTAGAATTTCATTAATAATTATCAATTACATATTTCTTAGAAGCTGTGCTACCCATTAACTTATAAAATCAGTGTTCTGCAAATTTGCCACTTGGTGGTGCCAAATTGATTTATAAATCACAGATGTGAGCTGAGACAAGCTGTTGAAATTCTTTCTGAGGCATGTGCACTAAGATATACATAAATTTGCTTGGAAAACTTTGATTGTGTGACAGCACTGGTGCAGCTGTACTTAGCAACATTTCTGGCAACCATCCCTCAAGCCCCATATCTGGGGTATCTCTCTGTCCGTCCAGTACAAGACAGAGTAAGTGTATAGCAAAGCTGCATCTATGAGAGTAGAGTTTCAGGAACATTTCTTCCATACCATGCACCTGGTGAAAAATAATTTGGATCCAGTGATATTCCAGGCATGGTGCATGGGGTTTCTGGCTTTGGGGTTTCTGAAGGCAGCTGCAGGTGTGCTGCTTGCAGTATTATTTTTGTGGGTGTTTGACTGGAGTAGTTCCTGTACAGTTGTGGTTTTAACACTGCCAGAATTTCCACAGGTTTATCACTGAGCTTTATATCCTTGAATTGAAGGATGATGATTATCCTAAATGTAAATCTAAACAAAAAGACTCATGATTAAATTAACCTTCCTCCATCTCTCAGTTGCAGGGCAACTCTTCAGCAGGCTTGAAGTTTCTGTTTTATTAAAATGTCTTAATTGTCACAGCGTTTCAGTGTTATCAGTGTTTAGCATTGAAGAATATTTGCACCAGACTTAACAACTTCTTTTTTTATTTTTCTCTCTCTCAATACTACAGTCCCAAAAGAATTGGTGGAGCTTCACTTGAAACTGATGAGAAAGATTGGGAAGTCTGTCACAGCAGACAGATGGGAAAAATACTTGATCAAGGTACAGTATGCATGTTGTATTGTTCTGCAATGCTGGAATATGGTTGTGATGAGCAGTTGTGTGAGCAAGCCCTAGTATGAGCTACAGGAGCCTTGGGCTGTGCCAGCATCAACACACATACATCAGATCCCAGCTTAACTTGCAGTCTGCCTAGGCTTGTGAGAAAGAGGTCTCTGAAAATAGGCACCATCTTCTGCATGTAAAAGAGTGCCCACCCTCATAACTGGCAGGAAAATACTTTCTTGAATATTAAGAGCCTAAATAAAGAAGATTTAGTAGCCTGCAAATGGGTTAAATTGAGCAGAGATTTATACAGTAGCAGTTCATTGTATATCACTTGTCTGAATATGATTTAATTACTGTGATTTGGCTGAATTCATGTAGGAACTATACAGAGGTCTGGTAGTATGTGTTAATAATAAAAGAAAGTATTGCAGTGATTTATATCTGCATGATCAGAATGGCACAGCTAAGATGAAAATGTAATTATGCATCAGTAAAAATAGAGCATCCCATTGTTTTGCATAATTCTGTCTTGGTATTTTAATTGCAGCTGTGTCTTTGTTGACACTTTACATACAAATAGTTTCCAGTTTAAATAATTTACACTGCTTTAAAAAATAAGAATATATGGATAGTCAAAATTAATAGGTTACCATTTCCGCTCTGGATGTGTTCCATGTGTCTTTTGATCCACAGAATTGTAGTCTTGTTACTGTCTGTACAGCCGTGATCACATCTTGCTTAGAAATACAGCATCTTGGTAATAGCAACCATACAATTAATGGCACTTGGCAAATCCAGCTGCAGGTGTCCCCCTTAAATGCTGTCTGTAAGCTCTACAGAGGTATGAATTTGTCTTGAGGTTTGTGTACCCTTTAGGATGATGATGTTTTTAGGGCTGGGAATGTCTTGAGGAATAATGTGCTGAAGGGCCTTTGCTAATTCTGACCTGTTAACCAACTGTAAAGCATTGATGATAATCTTTAAAAATAGTAGTGTAATAATTCATGTAACTTGTGTGTACTTTGTGTATTACCAACTACTGTGGTTACTGAATTGTGTTAAATTCCTTAATAAATCCAAAAACCATTGCAGCAAACTGAGAAAACCCAACTCTGGCTCATGAACTTGTGTACCCCACTGGAGCCACTTACCAGTTGTGTGGTAAGCAGAAAGCAGGGCGATAAAACAAGTTTGAGGGAGTAGTTTGGAAAATCTTCTTCAAAGCAGTTTGGAAATTCTTCTTCAGGGAAGCAGTAAGGAAACCCTCCCTCACACCCCTGTTAAGACCAAGTAAGTGTTAATAAATTTTACTTCATTTAACAGTCTCCAGAGCTAACTTGAAGCTTATTCTGGCCAGTGGTTCAAAGGAACCTTGAAGAACAAAGGAATTTGAATATAACTAATTAGAAAGGTATGCTAATATTGTCCCCAATTCAAAGGAGTATGATTAATTTTGAAAAGCAAGGAAGAGTATTGGAAAATGCCACAAAAGCCCGGAAAAACTGAAAAGGTGTGGAACAACTGAGAGCATTTTTCCTTGATGCCTGCAGTATTGTTCCATGTATTATTGATGACACTCTAAGAGGCAAAGTTGACCTGGTTTTCTTTTGTTAGAAACTACTGATGTGTTCCTTTGATAAAATAGGGCTTGAAATATTCTAGATGTTCTTATTTAGGCAGAAACTTTAGTGGAGGGCATTCAGACTTACATGCTCTTAATATTTATGCATGTATGTATTATTATATTTTGTTTATATGCCAACTAATTATAAAACTTGCCTCACTTGACTGTTGTGCATATAAAGAGTATCATAAAAACTGTCTCTGAGCTGTGGCTGGTATTTTGACAGATGGATATATTTTGGGATAGGAAGTGAACATGGTAATTGAGAGTTCTTTCCCTTCCCTCATCTGGTGGTGAACCACCCAAGTTGGATCCACCAGCATGTGCACTAGTTTTTTATGGAAGAAAATGGCCGTAGGTCTCTGTGAGTCTGACTTTCGTCCTCTGCACAAGGAATGTCTTGTGGTCATGTCATGTGTGGCTGAGGGAAAGAAATACCTGGTCCTAAGCATTCCAGCAACCAAGAGGGAGGGTCCAGCTTAGCTGATTTTGAGAAACATGTAGTGAGGTCACATTGCACTGTCTCCTGACAAAGTGTTTTACTTAACTATTGTCAAAAATAACTTATATTTTTATACAGAGAAGATTTCTCTGTGTTGCTCCATCTGAAACCTTCGACGTAAAATCAGCACATTCTGAACACATTTCTGATTGTTAGAATTCAGGTGTTTGTAGTCCCAACCAAGGAGACTGCTCTTTCATGTTCCTGTTTTCCTTGTTTAAAGTGAACTTTTGGCATGGTAATAGTGTTGGATGCCATCATATCTGCTTTGGAATTATTTGAGAGAGATTTCTTGCAGGGTGGGAAGGTGCTGACCACTCTTAGCATGCAGAAGCCAGGAGTTTCTGCATGCAGCAGCTTTGTGATCAGTGTGAAGCATCCTCTCTGGGAAGGCAGAGACTAAGATTTCAGCAGAGCCTGGATCAATGAGATGTAGTTCAGGGTTGTGACAACGCTTGTCAGGAGAAAGCACAATTATCTGGTTTTTAATTATTGAAATGTAGTCATTTCAGTTTGAACAGATGCTTCATCAGCTCTGATGTCTTGAAGCTTTTGCTTTGACAGTCACACACTTTGTAGCACATGAAGCTTCTCATTATTGCTCTCATACTTAATGACTAAGGAATGAGCAGCAACTGGCATATGCCCTGAGCAAGGGTTTTGATATAGAGTTTCCCAGTGTTCTTCATATTACGTGGTTGAAAAGGAGAGAGAAAGTAGAATAGCTTCATTTTGTGAGTGAGCAGCGATTGTCTCCTGCTGTGAGCTTTGGCTTGGCATCAGAGAAGTCCCTACGCAATATTCTTTAACCTCAGAGCAGGAAAAACTGCTCTTCAGCAGGATCCCTTGTGACCAGTGTTCTTCACTGTTTTCTGTAGGTCGCAGCTTAAAGTCATGCCTTATGGTGTGCCTGAGCTGATCTAACTGCAGGCTTACCCTTGTGCCACCTGAGAAGTGGTGTCAGTACTGGGGTAGTGGAGGGTTGGTAGTGTGGCTGTGGGGACAGGGGAGGGGTAGCAGCCTCTTTGCTTGATTGGAGCCCAGGTGGCTTGTTTTACATTATGAATCAGTTAATCTGTACCTTTGGTGGGTGAAATTCAGGATTATTTTTGCTGCTGTTTCCAAAGAAAGCTGCATTCAGGTGTGATTGGCAGGTTTCTAAGTAGCTTGGTAACTGTATCTTACTTTAATAATAATTTGTTGACTCGGAGACTGCCCTGTTCTGATTGAGTCCAGCCTTGTAGAGTGAAGGGCAGCAGCACCTCATGCACTGATTTGACAGTTGTGATTCAGCTGTGGCACTTCAAAATAATTCCAGCTGGAGGTGTGGCTGTGATCAGCTTTTGCCTCCTCATGGATATTTCCACTGGAATAGCCTCACTCACTGGAGATCCCACCATGTGTCCTCAGCCGATGAGCAGCTTGTCTCTTCTCTGAAAATTGGCTTAAGCACATCTGAGTTGTTTAGGAGGAGAGGGAATTTCTTCTTCACCTTTATTATTTGAGCTCATGCTGATTCAATCTATTTCTCCTCTACTGCTGCTTTTTCTGGTGATAATTTTTTTTCCCTATATTGGTGTGGTTGAATTTATTTGCTTTAAATGAATTGAAATTGGCTATATTTAAAATATTTTAAATATTTGTCAAGCAGCTTGAAGCTCAAGATATTTTGTAAAGAGTAATAATTCCATGGTGTGGAGTGAGTAGCAGTTGCATTTGTTATCTGCAGTAGAGTTGAAGTACTCAGAGGGCCCCAAGAGACCCTGGCAATTTGTCTGCTAAGTGCTGCAAGGAGATATAATAGGAAGTCATGTCTGCTTGAGGGAATTTATATTCTAAATAGACAGAAATAGAAAAATGTGAGATATGTGTACAGCAAAGACAATAATACCTTTCCATTCCAGAATCATGCTACCTAATTTAGGATGTTTAGAGAATCTGGTGGTGATCAGGACCTCGATGATCTCCTCTTCCATAAAAATTCAACAGTGCTTGCTAATGTGCCTCAGTTTTACTTTTTGTTTTTCTGTAAGACTTTCTGACTGCAATCCCAAAGAGATCGCATATTATTGTGGTAAGGTACTACTAATAAAAAAATTTAAAGTTGCTTTTTTCTCCTAACCTTAAATTATGCTTATTTCATTTGTAACAGATATGTCAAGAATTCAACAGCACTTGGGCTTGGGAGATGGAAAAAAAAGGATACCTAGAAATGAGTGTTGAATGCAAACTGGGGATTCTGAAGGTACACATTCATCAGCTAAGGTTCTAAATTACTGCTTGCTCACTCACTTTAAGGTCTTGCAAACTTAGCTTGACTGAACCATAAGCACATATATTAAATATAGACCTGATCTTGAACAGACATAATATTATTCATTGTAGTGGGATGAATGTAACTGCATGTAACACTTTGCTTGCATATTTTTCACATTTTGTGTGAAAATAGTCTCATGCTTACTGCTTTGTCAAGAGCTCTTTGCCTGTGTACTACACACTTTAAAATGCGTTTGTTTCCTTGCTGAATTCCAAAGGCAAAATGGGACTTCATCTTTTGTGGTCTTGACAAAATTGTCAGGGTTGGTTCCAAGTTATGTATGGGTTCTGTTGTAGAATGAGATAATTTGTGCTATGTAATAAAATTTGAGAATTAGCTTTCTAAACCAGCCAGGTTAAAAAAAAAAACCAAAACCAACCCTTGTTTCTCATTTAAAAACAACATGGTCTGGAAAAAACCTATAGCTACAGCTGACACACAAAACCAACAGAGAGAGGCCTAAAAACAAGTCACACTGAAGTGAAATGAGTTGATTTTCTTCTTTCTGTTTATATTTTTGATATCTTACCAGTCTTTTTTACTTTTTCAGTATCTCTGCGAATGTCAGTTTGATGACAATCTGAAGTTTAAGAATATCATTAACGAGGAGGATGCTGACGCCATGCGTCTGCAGCCCATTGGTCGGGACAAGGATGGCCTCATGTACTGGTATCAGCTGGATCAAGAGCATAATGTCAGGATGTACATAGAAGAACAGGATGACCAGGATGGATCCACTTGGAAGTGCATTGTTAGGTATTCCTTTTTTTATTTTGTGCGGTTTTTAGCTGTTTGTCACTCAGGCTCAGAAATGTCTTTCAATAAATCTTCATTTCTCACGCAGTAGGATTCATGACAGTGGGATTTTCTGCATTGAATCTATGTTCTAGTGAAAAATCATGTACAGAAATAACTCACAGATTTGTTGGTGGCAGCCATCACATAATATTTTTCCTGCCAGTTCAAGCTGCAATGAGTATATAGAAAGGGTAGCAAGAGAAGACTGTCTTGAGGATGATGGCTCCATATTCCTTACTGGCCAGCTAAATGCCTTAGAAAGTAGAACACTCCTGCTTCTTTAACTTCAGCTTTGTTAGGAAAGCTCCAAGTAGACAGATTTGTTCTTGGGGAAATTATATTGCAATTATTCCTGTTGGAAGGAAGCTAGAGGAGGCCAAGGAGGTGTTTAGAGGGCTGGAGTACCTCTCCTATGAAGACAGGCTGAAAGAATTTGGATTGTCCAGCCAGGAGAAGAAGAGGGTCCAGGGAGAACTCGGAGCCCTTGCTAGTACCTAAAGGGGTTCAGGAAAAGGCAAGAGGGATTTGTTAGAGGGATGTGTAGTGACAGGACAAGGGGGAATGGGTCCAAACTGACAGAGGGCAGATTTAGATTTAGTGTTACAGAAGAGTTCTGTGAGTGGTGAGGCAGTGGCGCAGGTTGCTTAGATAAGCTGGGGCTGCCCCATTGCAGGAAGTCTTCAAGGCCAGATTTGATAAGGCTTTGAGCAACTTAGTCTTGTAGAAGTCTGTGCCCATGGCAGGGAAGTTGGAATGGCTTGGTCTTTACAGGTCCCTTCCAACCCAAACTGGTTATTTACACTGCCATGACTTCAGTAACTGAGGGAGTCATGCAGAAGTATTTAAGCCACTATCAACAGACCATAAAATGATAAGCATCACTACGAGTTACATGTATACAGCTGTTGTAGGGGAATAAAGTAATCGTGTCCAGACAAACAGATTAAGAGGTGATCCATGCATCATCCGTCTCTTCCATGCATTATAGACTCCAAAATTCATTGCCAAAGGAAGAAGCAGCCAGGGTTCTTCTGGGAAGGTTCTAACACTCCACACTCACAGCAGAAAACCACAGTAATGCATTAAGAAATCTGAAATGGTTTTAAAACCTGCGAGACTCCACATATTGTGATTATTGCCAGCTTCCTTTCTTTCTGTAAACTTGGGAAAAACAAATTGCTGAACACTGACTTTGAAAAACAGATGTGAGAGCCTTATTATTCTAGTCCATTAAGAAAGCAATGACTGTTCAATCATGGCTCAAATTCTTTATAAATTAAGGTGAATTTTTTTAATAGTTGGATGTGCAGCATAAATAAGGAGTTACAGTGCACTGAGATTCACTCTCAGACAGATGTGCACCAATGATTTTGCTGTCATAACTTGAGTTGATGGAGTTTTCTAGACAACTTGGTGTTGTTTGTTGCATGTGCTAAGGATAAGCACTTGCAAAAAATATCTGAATTATTTGCTGTTTGCTTTTGCAAATTTCACTCAAATTATATGGTTGCTTCTTTGGTGCATGAGCAGAGAGCTGTTGTTTGTTCACTGCTGAGAGAAAAAAAGAAACAGCAAAGAATAACCAGCGATTGTTAATGAGAGGGTAATTAATAACAGAACAAGTAGCAGCTTGGAGCTGGACCCAGCAGTAATTGAGTTGAGATAGTTAAGTAGATATGGTCCTTCCAAAAGCAATATTTTTATTTTGGTATGGATAAATTGAAAGGTTTCTGACTGCAAAGGTGCAGCCACTGGTGGGACAAGCATTTCAGTTTGCTTGTGTTTTCACTATATAACTCTATAAGGTTTTCAGGGTAATTAATTTAAGGAGATAATGTTTGTTTACTCTTCATGAATCCCTTTGGGGTAAGTAAGTGGCTTATCAGACAGTGTGTTTTTCTCTTCTAGAAACCGCAATGAGCTTGCCGAGACCCTTGAGCTCTTGAAAGCGCAAATTGATCCTGCTCTGTTGAAAAACAACAATTCTCAGCAGGAGAATTCATCACGTGAAAGTCCAAGCATAGAAGATGAGGACACCAAAAAGGGTGAAGAAGCAGCCACACAAGGTTTTCTGCCTTCTTTTCTCAAAGTTTAAGTATTTTGCTGTGGCAATGTTAGAATTTTCAGCCTCAAAAAAAGTTACTGTGTTAGTTTAGGACTTCAAAAAAGCAAATCAAGTAAATATTGAATACTTTGAAATTCTGAATATATTTGGAGGTTTTTCAATACATATTTAATCTCAAACACTTATTTATAGGAAGGGAGCTGTGTAAAAAATGTTTTCTCAGTAGCTATTTTTTTGTGTACATTTTGTATAATATTGTAATCCTCATTATTGTATGTTTTTGTGGAGCATTGATCCGCTGCCAAACTTCTCCTGCTTTAGCAACATTACAATTTGAAAAAGAAAAGAAATCTGCTTGTGCAATGCCATGATTGAAATCAAGACTGTATTGGGTGTGGTGTTTATTCTTGCTTTTGAATTAGAATCAGAAAAATATAGGTTATTTCCTTAAATGTTTCACAGTTGACACAATATTTCAAGAAGACATGAACTTAAGTTAAAACAATTTAAAATGCTAAAACATTGTTGAAGTGAGGCTGTCCTTATCTGCCTCCATTATATTGTTGTTATTAAAATCACAGAATTATGTAGGTTGGAAAAGATCTCCAAGATCAAAGCCGAGAACCTTTTTCCTTCCTTATTATCATGTCATTGCACGTATTTAGTAACTTGCCTGACTTGTTGGTTTGTGCATTGGTTTTGCTAAGTATCAGTCAGCCTGAAGTATTTGACTTTTTAAGAATCTGGTCTTCTTTTAGGTCATGAAAAACTAGAAGCCTGTTACCCCAAGTAATTTTACCCCAGTTTTGCTACCTGGTCTTATTATTTTGTTAAAATGCAGGAAAATATTTTTACAATCAGAAGCAAATTTTAAGTATTCTAGTGTGTTAGTCGGTATTTCTACAAATGTGTTGAAGTTAACTGGATACATCAAATTAGCCAAGGCTTGTCTTGGTTTTGAGTATCAGAAAGAAGGAATTACTATTCTATTTTTCTTTGCAACAAGCAGTGTAGAACAGAAGAAATAAATATTTAGGTAAAATTGGAGTTGTTGTGGAGGTACTAAGAGATGATTGTAGAAATGATGGTAAATTGTGATAAAACCCACCAGAATTATCTTTCAGTCTAAGACATTTCCAATATCTAACTCTGCATATAGGTGGCAACACAACCAGCATAGTTACTAACACTGCAGAATTAATTCCATGTACTGATTGTGCTTTTGTCTCAGTCAAGCCAGCTTAAATCATCTGATTAAGACCTCTTCTTCAGATACAATTTTGCTTTACATTGAATTCAGGAGCAGCCATTTTAAATGTCTCTACTGTAGATAATTCCCCAAATCCTGTGGCACACTCACCTGGCTCAGTACTTGCATTAGGTTGTGTATTGGTGTAAAAATCACCTCTAGGCACTAGTTGCAGAATCATAGAATAGTTTGGGTTGAAAGGCATCTTTAAAGGCCATTTAGTCCAACCTCCCTGTGATAAGCAGAGACATCTTCTACTGGATCGATTTGTGCAGAGCCCCATTCAGCCTGACCTTGAACATTCCAGGGATGGAGCAGCCACAACTTTGCTGGGCAACCTGTGCCTCACCAGCCTCACAGTGAAGAATTTTTTCCAAATATCTAATCTAAATCTCTCTTCTCTTAGTTTAAAGCTCTTCCCCCTTGTCCTGTCACTCCATGCCCTTGTCAAAAGTCTTGTAAGACCCCTTGATGTACTGCAAGATGCTATAAGGTCTTTCCAGTTCCTTCTCCAGGCTGTCTCTCAGCCTGTCCACAGCAGAGGTGCTCCAACCCTCTGAGCATCTTCATGGCCTCATTCCTACAGGTACTTGTCCCATGTATGTAATAAATAATGAAATTATTTACATTTGTGGTGATTTGAGTGCTGTCAGTGTGTTCACAGAACATTCCTTAGAGCCTTTCAGTTGAGAAACTGTAGTATCTCCTCCTTGTAGTCCAGGGATTGCACTGAAGGCCCTACTAAGAGGTAGGGAAAATATGCTGGAAGACCTGACACTTGTTGGCTTTGGCCATTTTCCACAAATCATTGAATTAGTACATGCAAATACATGGTAACCTAACCCAATGCTTACGTGTTTACTGGCCTGACTGACTCTAGTAGTGTTAGGAGAGCTTGTGCGTTGACTGAGTCATTTTGTGTATATGTGAAAGGTTTTGTGATTAGTTCAGGGAGTTAAACTATAGAACATGTGTTGATTTTTGGTATGGAGAGGTTTTGGAATTCTGGTGATCCTTAATGAAGTTTGGGAGAAAGCTGTAGGTGATGGGAAGAAATGGCTGAGCAAAGTTTAGACAGACAGAAATTGACGGAAAGTGGAAGAACTTGGACACAGAGAAAATACCTCATTCTCACTGCTACAGACAGATATCTTTGCAGAGGTAGTTATAGGGGCTCTGATTGGGCATCACTTCTCTGAAGGGGAAAACCCAGCCTTGAGCCTTCAAAATGTGCACCTTGCCACTTCTGGAGCCTTAGAGGTGCATCTTTACTGTACTGATACTGAGGTTTATCTGGATACATGTCTTGTATTTGAAAATAGAAGATCTGTGAATTCCTCCTCACTGTTCTTTTCTAAAATGCTTATTTTCTTTGATGTAATTGTTAGCTGTCATGTCCTTTCCCTTGTATATTTTTAACCACATTCAAAAGCTCTCATCGTGCAAAAAACCCTGCACTAGCTCAGTTGGAGAGGGGTGAGCTAGAGGGAAAAAAAAAATCATCTTTTTGTTTGCAGTTGTGCCATGCCTGCAAAAGCGTCTTCCGGGTGGCAGGAGCTGTTCTGGTATATACAGTGCTATTGTATTTGCTTCTTTTAATTAGTACTGTATCTGGCTGACACAAAATGATATTGTTAAAATACAAAACCCTGAAGTATCAAGAGGTTGTGGTAAAAATAAATAACAAGCTGAAGTGCATAGTGACAAAATAGCTGTATGGTTTATTCTAAATGCTGGAACTGTACTTCAAGCCCTAATGATCTAAATCTGAGTTAGCAAAGTGGAATAACCTGATTCTTTAAGCTCTGCAGGTTTGCTGGGATATGCTACTATTTGTTGCTTGTTTTAAAAACTGCAGATGAAGTGAGTGTAGAATATTGTCTGCATGTAGGAGATGTAGTCATTGCCTGGAGAACCTGGATGAATTTTGCCATAAGCCATAATGCCAAATGTCTTTTCTCTGAACTGTTGAAATACAATAGTTAAGTGTATCTTGAAGTAAAAACATGTATAAACAGGGGACTCATTTCTCTGAGGAATTTCTCTTGAAGGCCATGGAATCTTACATCATGTTCTGTTTTCTGAAATAGCCCAGAGACTCGAGTGAGATTTCATGCCTCCACCTAGGTTTTATGTATCCTTTGGAAGTATTGTGGTAATACTGAAGAAGGGACTGAGATGTGTGTTGAAGGAAGGATAAATCCAGAGTTCTGCTGCTGGCTTCTGAAATTTAGGTTTATCTTGATATATAACTAGACTGAAGAGTAGTTCTATAGCTAAAAATTGTCAGCCCACCTGTTTAATGACAGTGTTAGACAAGCTAGATTTCTACTAATTCAGTAAGAGAAGAGTCCTTTGTGTGAGACTTGGGCTGTTGGGTTTTTTAGGTATGCTTCTGTTTTGATGAAGTTCTCTGTAATCTTATAGGTCCTTTGGTTGTTTATTAGCTGTTTTTCTCTGTCAACAGAAAATCAATTGAAAATCAAAGAAGAAAAAGAGGAGGTAGAGGAACAGTCAGTCGAATCGGAAAGCCTTCTTCCTCCTGTGGTCAAAGAAGATGAAAATGCACTTAAAATTGAGAAAGTGGAAGAAAAAGAAATTATAAAACTGCCAGTAATAGTGAAATTAGAAAAACCTTCAGAACATAATGAAGAAAAGCAAACTGTCAAGGAAGAAAGTGACTCCTTTAAGGAAAATGTCAAGCCTGTTAAAGTAGAGCTGAAGGAAAACAAAACGGAGCCCAAAGACCTAAAAGAAGTGAAAAGCTGTATGGACAAAATAGCAGTTCATGAGCCAGAGAGGTTAGAATTTTGTGTTAATGTCAAAACTCCACAAGAAATTGTGGAGAAATCTGTGGAAGAAAGTGAAAAACTTAAAAATGACCAACAGGCAAAAATACCACTTAAAAAGCGAGAGATCAAACTGACAGATGACTATGACAGTCCAATAAAAGGGCCCCTGTGTAAATGTGTGACTCCAACAAAGGATGTCTTGAAGGAAGAAGGGAAATCAGAAGAAGAAGCTTTTAAGAGAGTCCCTACCATTACTGCTCTATGTCCTGATGGGAAAGTGCTAGTAAATGGAGAGGTTAGCTGTGAAAAAATAACCCCAAGTGTCATACAAAATAGTAAGTCAGAGCACTCTGCTAGTGCTATGGAAGACAGCACTTCATTAAAGGAGAAAAATGGAAAAAGCGGGGAAAAAGTATCAGACTCCCTAAATTCTGTTATAAAAACATGTGAGATTGAGAAAAACGCAGTAACTGTGCTGAAAGAGATCGGGGCTGTGGTCTCTGAGGTTTCTAATCAGAAAGTGCCTTCAAAGGAGGAATCTAGTCCTGTGGAAAAAGAGTCCCTTGACAGCGCAACTACTGAGACGGTAGCAGAAGAGGCTTCAAACTCTGAAGACTGTGCCAAAACAACTGAAGAGAAACAAGCCACTGATCTCAAAAACGACAGCATGCCACCACCCAAAGAATGTTCAGAGAAGCTAGAGATGTCCCCAAGTGCATCTGCTCCTGCAGAACTGCCTAAGCTTGCACTGGCTGATGAAGAGACTTTGAAAAGTAAAGATGAGCCCGAGGAGAAAAACGACTCTCCAAAAGCTGCTGAGATACCTCCTGCATCCACTTCACCTGTTACAGTAGAGAAACCTGTTCCAGAAGAGGAGGACTCCGATAATAAAATGGCTCTACCTGAGGAGAGCAAAGTAGAAGAAAAATCCAGCCCAGAAAAACAAGAGGAAGAGCCAGAAACTGCCAAAACAGAGCCAGATAGATTAGATGATGCCTGTGCATCTAATCTAGAGGACTCCTCAGAGAGTAAAAAGGAATCTCCAGTACCTAAAAGCAAATTTAAATATAAGCTAGTTTCTGAAGAAGAAACCTGTGCAACAGAAAATAAAGAAATAACTTCTGAAAGACAAAAAGAAGGAATTAAATTAACAATCAGGATCTCTAGTCGGAAGAGAAAGACAGAAACACCGCCAGAAGAGGTCAGCATTGGCCGCACGTTAAGGCGCTCACCAAGAATATCCAAGCCTACTCTGAAAGTTGTGGAGACTCGGGATCAGAAGCCTGAGAAGAAGCGACCTGAAGAGGAAGAGGAGAAACCTGCAGCAGCACAAAAACCAGAACGAAAAGAAGATGCAAAAAAACAAGAGAAGGAGACAAATTCTAAAGTTAACAAGGTAAATACAGTTTTATTACTTGTGAGTGAAGAAAACCCCCAGTCTTATCTATAAGGAGAATATACTCTTACATAGGAATACTGAGGATTATGTTCCTTTGGTCAGCTTTTGCAAGAAACTAGCTTTGCAATCAGTTAGTGAGCTCAACCAATTTAAAGCCACCCCCTAAGAGAGTGCTAATATCTGTTTACCTTTTATAAACTTTGACAGTTAATAAATCTGTCACTTAAACCAACCTAAGTAGACCAAATCAACCTGAGTGAATTCTTCTAAAAAATGGCACGATCAGGTGTGAGTCTGTCTGGCTGTGTGGCTGAATAGACTTGTAACCCCTCTGGATTTGGATACTTGTTGGTGTCTGGTTGGTCAGAATGATTGTAAGCTAAAAAGGAGCCAACAGATGGGGAAGAATAAAAATATTATGACTTCTGTTTCTAAGTGAAGCTAAAGATATTTTTGTGGTGAATTCATGATATAATTTAGCTTTTCTCACATATGTGCTACACATTTTAATGTGAGTACAAGATTTTGTTTCATATTAACTTCTGTTTATGCAGAAGAGATCTTTAAAAGTACATTATGTAAATATATCAGAGATCCATTTGTATGGTGTGCTTCTGAGACTATGTATTTATAAATAAGAGACTGTGTATTTATAAATAACCCTTTATTAATTTATCTTCTGTTTTCTCTGGATATGCAGCACAAACCAAAAGATGTGTTATGAGTTTGTATTGTTTAAGTGCACTTTTTAAAATCAACTTGTAAAATCCTATTAATTTTCCATTGCAACATACTTTTGACTGATGTAGTTTTCCCAAAGCATTCAATTATTTAGAATGTGAAAGAAAGTTTCTTTCTTTGGATAACCTTAATAAAATGAACAAACAGTTGATTTTTCAGTGAATGGTAACATCTATACTGAAAAATGCTGCCACATGCCCAGGGAAATGAAAACCAAATTTTTCATTTGAAGATTTTAATTAAAAAAGAAAACATGTGAAAGTAAGAGGGATTGTAAGTCCTGAAAGTTATTAGTATTTTGAGGTACTGTTGCTACAGGTGTTTTAACTGTTTTAACTTGATTTCTATTTGTGAAAGAGCAAGAGAGCTAAAGATGTTTACTTTTCTAAAATAGTTATGATAGAGGAAGAAGTTTGAGGCTGTTAAGCTTCTCGCATTTAAACAGGATGAAGAACATCAGGATCTTTAATTGCTTGCTTTTTGTCTTGGGGTTACTTTTCTTTGTAAAGATGGGTCTTATAAAAACTGATTTGAAGTTATGATGCTGTATGATGAATCCATAGCCTAAACTGAGACTCTGTAATGTATTTCAAGTACCTTTGCTAGTAAAGCTGAAGTAACAGTAAAATCTCTAAACAGACAGAAACTGATGTTAAGAACCTCAGAAAATTTTACCAATATGACAAATGCTGCTTTGGTACAAGTCCATCCTGCAGGAGAAATAGACTATTTTGGGCATTTTAGTTTATTCAGCTTATTCAGGTCTGTGAATAATTAAATCAAAATCCAAAAAATATTTTGAATTAAAAAAGCTGGAAAAATTATTTTCCATTTTCAGTGTCTGTGGGAAGGGGGTGATAAGTTGTGAGAGAATGATGGGTGTGAGAAACAAGTCAGTCAATGGGAATAAAAGTTTTTTCTGTTTGACATGTTGCTTTAAATCTAAAATATCTTAGTTGCACAAAGTAGTTTAAATAATTCAGAATAGTCTTCCGAATTTTAATTGAAACCTGTTTTTTATTCAAAATGTGGCAATATATATATTCAAAATATTTTAATTCATAATATGGTATATGATAGAAGGGGGTAGATTCCCCTTTGATTAGCAAAAAAAGAATCACCAACTGAATCATGTTTCAGTTAAGGAAAAGAATATGAAATGAAAAAGTATAAATGTGAAAGAAGACCTAGATAGAAGTAATGCACTTAAAAGGTGTAGTGATCTTATTTCAGAAACAAACACATTTTCCAAAGTAAAATAAGATGCATAAAGTCTTTGGGAGGCAGGTGGGAGGAAAAAAAAAAGATTGTCTTTGGGTTGAAGCAAGTTATCATGAAAAAGTCAGAAAGTTTAAGTGTGGAGTTTACCATGTTCACTATGAATTTGGCATTGTCAAAGTAGAAGAAAATGGTTTGAGTGGAAAAATTTGTCTTCCTACTTTTAAATCTTACTTGAAAATTTCTTTCAGCACATAGATGCAATTTTATCTGGTTGCATTTAAAGGATCTTGGGAAGACAATATATTTGGTGAAATGCTCAGCTGTAAATTTACTGCAGCTATTCTGACTGAAATGAATCGTTTTACTCTGGAGGCAATTATTTTTTTAAGATCTGGGAAGAAACTCTGTGGGCTTCCTTTGTGTTTTTTCTTTGAAATGGTGTCTCATAGAGAAGCAAAGTTCGGTGGACGGGTACACGGACACGTGGCAGGTGGAAATACTCAAGTAATGAAGAGACTGAGGACTCTGAGAGTGAAAAAAACTCTGAGGAGGAGGAAGAAGAGGAGGAAGAGGAGGAAGAAGAAGCTCCACCTGCTGATGACGATGAACCCTGCAAGAAGTGCGGCCTTCCCAATCATCCCGAACTGGTAGGATTTGGGGGAAGCTTCTGTAGGTTGTTGTGTCAGATTTGATGGATTGGCTTTGATGGTGTCTGAAGGCAAGTCATCCTTCAGGGTGGCCATATGTAGGAGTGTGTCTTCTAGTTTTTAGCTGGTAAACTCAGGAGTAGATGAGTTACCTTGACTAAGGAGGGAAGGAAGTTATTTTTCCTGTTTGCCAAAACAAAAATAGCATCTTTTACAGGGTGTAACACACCTTAGCCCATTGAGAATCAGTCTGGGTGACCCTTTGAGGTTATGCCTGCAGTTGCAATGAATACAGAGGAAGCAACATTAAAAAGAACCCCATCAGTATGATGTCTCCTTTACAAGGCATCAGTGGCATAGCCACACAGCTGCATAATCATCTTCATTAGATGTAGCTGCATCTCACCCTGAGGACTGAGTACAGTGAAATCCCAGACAGATCACAACAAGATTTTGCTATTTCTTGTGGTTCTCACTTATTTGTGGTAGATGCCGTAATGAATTCCTCTGTTTATCTAGGAAATCATCATGTGCAGTCCTGAATCCAGAAAATAAGCTCACTCTTGGGTGTTTGACAGATCTCCTGACATAGCTGAGAGAAAGTTTGTCCTTTAGGATGTTAGAGATAAGTATTTCAGTAGATATACACACAGCTTATGCCAGCTTTGTTCTCAAGTTTTATGAAAGGGGATATCTCAAATTTTACCCAACTAAGTATGAACTTTTAGTAGTTGCCTAGTTGTGGATGCCTTGCGAGCCTGCAAGACTTCGTCCCTGCTGCCCAGGTCATAAAGTTATCCTGACTGAGAAAAAAGGCCAGGTTTCCTGCATAAGAGAGCACAGGGAAAACATGTCTTGTTCAGATGGAGTTTTCCACTTATTCTAGGATCTGGAAAGCACTACCAGATTCTACACTAAGGGCATATAGTCTACACAGTCCAGTAGTACTAAGTACTGAGAAAATACAGTAAGAGGAAATGTGGTGTTAGCGTGGAACACTGTGATAAATAAACTTCTCCATGAAAACCACCCCTGGCCCTGGAAGTGTGGTACAGGATAAGTGATACAGGGCTGTTTTTTTGTTTTGGCATAGTCCAAACACTTCTGTGTTGGCTGGGGAAATATTTGTGGAGCTTGCTACGTGTGAATGCCAAAAGATACTCATGACATGTTTTATTTGCACAGATTTTGTTGTGTGACTCATGTGACAGCGGCTACCACACAGCCTGCCTTCGCCCTCCGCTGATGATCATCCCTGATGGAGAGTGGTTCTGCCCGCCTTGCCAGCATGTATGGTTCCTGTGTGACTTCACTCTTCCTTGCAGCTTCCCTTGTGGTTGGGGAGATTGGCTGGGACTTTAACAAGTCCTTTCTATAATTTTTCTTGCCTGTTAACAGACTGGGATGAATGGTAGCACTGCTGATCTTCCCTCCCGTCCATTAGTAAAACTGAATTTGTGATGTGGTTTTCTCTTAGTGATGAGAGTTGTGTGTTGCTGATTTTTAGATGGGACTCTCCAGTCACACTGATTATCTCCCATCTCTGATTAAATCACAAGACTAGTATAGTATTAAAGATATAATGTCTTAAATTTTCCCAAAAGAAGCATTTAAGTTATTGTCCGGGTGGCAGGAGCAGTAGGCAACAAGGGATGGATCAGTGGCCAGAGCAAGCAGCTGTTTCTGAAGTGTTATTCCTTCTTCAGAGACATTTGCTCAGAAGCTGGTTAGAGAAAGCTGCTGTTACTGATGAATCTCAGGGTATACTTTGTCTCTGATAGGAAAGCCAGGGTTGTTCTAGTCAAGTAATAGACAAGTATGAACCCTTATTCCAAGGTTAGAAGCAAGGTTGGAACTTGGGAGGATAAGCAGAAAGTGTGTGATGCTGCTCTTGTTAAATTAACGGGAAACCATTTGTACACATTTTCAGAATAATCTGCCAGATCCCAACCCCCTTCCTTGGTTTTAGAGAAATTCTGTGCCAAAAGGGCTGTTGCCTGACAGTAAGCTAGAGACATTGGGCATGATGTGAGATGACTCTATTTGGTGCTGGGTTTAGTTGTCTTCTGAGGAGTGTTTTTAAGCAGTGATGATTTTGAATATGTAAGAATGTTTTCTTTGCACTTTTAGTTATAGTTTCTCCTCGTTTTGTTGCTATTAAAGTATTCTTCAGTATGAAAAATGACAGTTTGTAAAAGGGTGAGGAGCACCCTTGGAAATAGTATAATGAGGGCATTAACATGGACTAAGGCACAATTTGTCCATTAAAAGTCATTTTTGCATACAGCTTCTTGAGTATTTGATAAGGAAATTATCCTAAAGTGTATTTCTGCTTTTTGCTGCAGTGCCCGCTGAACTCATCTAGTTTCAACCTCCTTTACCATAAGCAGGGACACCTTCCATTAAACCAGGTTGCTCAAAGTCTCATCCAACCTTGACTTGATGGTGGAGCTCATGTTTTAAAAAGACAGGCTTTATTGTAAAGTCTTGTACATTGAAGAGGAGTGCTTCTTCCAGATACAGTCTGAGTGAATGAAGACTCTGAATGTTACTTCAGTGTGAAAATTGCTGGTTATGCAGTAAACTAATACTGTGTTTCCTTCCTTTAGAAATTACTCTGTGAGAAATTAGAGGAACAATTACAAGATCTGGATGTGGTCTTAAAAAAGAAGGAGCGTGCAGAACGCAGGTACTGTTGTTTGGATGCACTCACGGCAGTGCTGTGCTGGGGGTGGTAATAATTGAAAGCATTAAAATAACTGGGGACTGGGGAGAAAAGCAGTGATGAGACTGGGAATTGGTAACACCAATTTTGACTTCCCACTGATTATTGCTGGCTCAGTGCTGGGACAGCTTGTAAGAAGGGAGGAAATAACTGGAAAAGGTAAGCAAATACATTTGTACTAAAATTTGATTAAAGTGCCTGAACACAGATTTGACTTTCTTGTACCAATAGTTAAAGGGTTTCCAGCACTGGTTCAACTGACTGTCAGTCATGTGTAGAATTCCTGCTGTAAGCAAGTTTAAGTCTTGACTTTGCTCCAGAAGTCATCCAGATTATTGTGGGATTTGAGAGTTGTTACTTTAGATCCTGTTAAACTCTGCCTAATGTACAAGATTATGCAGCAACTGCTGTAGGGCAGTGGGTCAGTGAAGTTTCACAGAGTCACAGAATATTCTGACTTGGAAGGGGCCCACAAGGATCATCAGCTTCAACTCTTCAGGGTATTGCCCATGCAGGGATTGAACCCACAATCTTGGCATTATTATCACCCTGCTCTGACCAGCTATCCACCCCTGCATTTACCAAAGGCTAAGTGCAAGCATATTTACTGCATTTAGGAACAACAGCCTTATCAGTTGGAGCATTCTGTTGGCAGTTTTCAGACCTGGAAATGAGGGACATGATACACATTCTGCATAATTTATACTTTTTAGGACATATATTGAGTACTTTGCAGAATTTAATAATGTCTGTATGCATTATTAAACAAAACTTTGCATTAATTTTATCTTAAAAGGCAAATTTCGCCAGAAGGTGAGACCCTTTTAAAGAAAGTAATTGTGCAGGCTTATATTTGTGGCAGGGACTGTAATATTACATGAGATGTAGTGAGTCAGTGCTGGGAAGATGGGAGCACAATCTGTGTCTGCTTTCAGCTTTCTTCAAACCTGTTTGTTATTGCAACAGCAACAATGATAGTGACAGATCAAGTACCGACTATTCCTGATGTTACTACTTCTGCTCAGTGTTTATCTAGATCATACTGTGGTGAAATTATCCATTGCCAATTGTGCTGAATTTGTAGCTGTGGGAATGAAACCATCAGCTATTTTTATGAGTGAACTCAGCAAATACACAGCCTCCATCTGTGCAGAAGTATGGGACACACAGGAACTCTGTTGCTTTGCTTTATGGTGGGAGTGCTCTTTATTAGTGAATGGTATTTTTGGACCTACTTTAGTAAATATTCTGCTGGCAGACGTTACATGGGTGCTAGCTTTTGCCAGTCTGTCTTGCTTTCTTTGAAATCACCAGTGTTGCATAAAAACACAATGTTCAGAGAGCAACAGGAGAGCATACAGTTGATGTCATAGCAGTTTTCAGTGTCTGAAACAGCTGTTTAATAACTGTTTTACAATTTGATCATCCTCATACCAAATGAACCTAATGCTTTATAATGTATGCCATAAAACTGAGTTATTATAATAGACTTCACAATGCAATAGTTGAATATTGAAGTCTTCCAGCTTAATGCTCTATTGTTGCAAATAATAAGGTAAAAAGGCTGGAGAATCATAATACCAGAGGAAATGAGACTCGTTATTACAGCTCAGTGTATAAGTTAAAGCAGGTTGGTTGCTTGGGGCACAGACATACTTGAATGCAGTGTTTCTGAAAACTCACTATGTGGTTGGTATCTGTCTTTTTGGGAAAGAGAAGAAATCCAACTCTGTCATTATGGATCTGTCTACCTAATAGGTTCTTTGAATCAGTGTTGCTGTCATGCTTTCTGAAGTAGTGCTGTTGTGCTCTTTCCAGCTCTCAGGATTCTGACTGAGGCTGATTCAGCTGCGCAGCTGTGTGCTTGCACATCCCCAAACTGTTATGTCACTGATTTTTAAAATGAAACCTTCAGGTTTCCTGTTGACTTACAAATACATGGATGAAATTATATCTTTTCCCCCACCCTTTTTCTGTTTATGAATACAAGGTGCTACCACAACAACCTGGCTGAATTTCAGGTTTCTCACGTACAGACTAATTTCTATAATCATGTTCTACCACCAGCTGGAGGGAATGGACATTAAAGCCTTCTAGGATCTCCCTTTTAATCCATGTTAGATACTCTGAGACTTCTTGATGGAAAATCCCTCTAGGAACTACTTGTCTAATTCTCCCAGGCTAAACCAGGTGGAGTACTTCCTTTCATACACACTTTCATGACTTCCCTGCAGCAATTTTTGCTGCCACATAATTGAGATAAAATGTTATCTTGAATTTGCCTAGGAAGATGTTATAACCATCCAGGGCTTATCTACTGCTGCCCTTGGAGATGTCTTAGTTCAAATGTTTAAGCTCTTGGCTAAAGTCTTGAGTTCCTGTCTGCCACACAAGGAATAAAGAATTCATTCAATATAGTTCTGTATTTCATTTCAAGACCTTGACCTCAGCAGGATTGTCTGTTCCATTTGCTGAGTTCTTAAGCAGTGTATACTCAAGCCAGGGAGAAGAACAGCAGGACTGGAAGACTTTGCTGATCATGATTAAAAACAGATTAATTTTTCTCATCTCCTGTCTCTTAGTATTTTGCATTACAGAAATGAGAAATTGAGTAAACCATCAAAAAAACTTGCTGAATACTAAAATGTTTGCACTTCTAGTTCCTTTCTCAGTTCTGTAATTGTATTCCTTGCCTTAAAATGTTATTTTAATTAATTTTCAGGGGCATAGTGATTTTGCACAGCATCCTTCCTCCTCATCCAACCAATTTAATGATGCCCAGGTGGATAAGGATTTCTTTTCATTTGTCATGTAGGAATATTTATATTACGATGCAAAACCAATTCCTTGGATAGACAGCCAGTCATTTCAGTAGGCATAATGATACCAAGTTGTTGAAGTCCATGGTCTTTTTAGCTGTAACACAACCTAAAATCCATTTTTACTCATTGTAAGTATTACTTTAGGAATTGTGCTTGTTCATTTTATTTAAGAGTATTATGCTAGAAAGTGCAGAAGGCTACTCAGAGGATTTTCAAAATTTACTTAGATTCTTTAGAACTTAATGAAATTTTTGAAAACAAATTTTTTAAATATAGATACTATTATTTGCAAAACATAACACAATGAAGTAAACATAGCTGAAATTAATATAGGTCGTGGGCATTGTTGCAGTTATGTGCGTGATGTGTCCTGTTGCAACTCAAATGTAAAGCAACAGGCTAATATGAGCACTCGCTGTAACTTCAATAGTCTGATTCTGGTTGATTGAGACACTTCAGTTAAAAAATACAGAGTCCTTCCAGACACCAGTAAATGCCACCAACTTTCATTGTGCTCTTCATGTCTTTAAATTGCCCCTTATTTTCCTGGAAAAAGGCTAGTAGGGACCTATGGTGATGGGAGTTTGGTTACACATCCTAGTCTGCACTAGTACCTGGCTGTTCTTCCTCAGAGACTGTTCTTTGAAAGTTCTGTTCAGCAGCGTGAAGATCAGCAGGTAGTGCTGCTTGTGAAGTGTTAGAAAACCCATCTTTAGTTAGACTGACAGATACAACAGGACTTAGAGAAGACTTGTGTCCTTCAGGAGCCAGAGTTGTCCCTGAGGCAATTCATATGATGCAGAATGTCTGTGTTGAAGAAAGCTAAATCTAAACTGAATTTTGCTTCTGTAGATTTAATCCTGTAACACACTGTTGACAAGGAGAACAGCCCGCTTCTCCTTAGAAGAGAGTCCTGTATTCGAGTTCTTCTCTGTCTCTCATCTTTGGTCAAGTGTTCTCTACACTGATGCATCCTATTTTTTTAGCCCTTCTCTATAGGGTGTGTCTGCTGCCCTCCAGTAACTCCCACTGGCTGGCTCTGAACTCTTCAGCTGGATCACATGTTTCTTGGAGATTGTGTGGTGCCCAGATGGCTCTAAGTGCTCCAGACAGGTGTGAACAGGACTGACTGCCATGGCAGGTGTCCTGCAAGGTGTCCTGTCAGCTGTTGTCCTATTTGCACGTCCTATCTATCATCAAGTTCTTTGAACAGCAGTTTGATTCTGCTGATCTTTACTCAGGTTGTTCTTCTCTGGCAAAGAATTGCTCTGTAGGCAGTTATTTATCCCCTGGTATTTCTAGAGTTGGTTCTTCTGCTTGGGTCTAATCGGCATTTATCCATTTTGGATTGCATCCTATCTTTACATATTTTTTCCAGTTCATTGTGATTCTGAATTCCCATTTATCTTTCATCACCTTCACGATTGGTGGTAGTTACAGATCTGACAACATAATCTTCATCACAGCATTAATATTTTTCAGTTGGTTTTTTACTTGCTTTTTATACCCCAAATTCAATAATTTCTGTGCTTCCTGCCCACAGTCTTCAAGTACTGTTGATTGTCAGAACTCTTTGGAAATCTCTTACATTATACATGCAGAAAAATGCGATCACATGAGAATTAGCATATAATCCCAATTTCAATAATTTTTCACTTGAAACATCCTCTTGGGATGCTTCTGCCAAGTAAGAACTTCAAATGATGCTAATTATAGCTTTATTTTAGATATCTGCAGACATTCTGTAAGCTTATTTTCATTTTCTTTCTCTCCTCAAGAAAAGAGCGATTGGTGTACGTGGGTATCAGTATTGAGAACATCATTCCACCTCAGGTAAGCTACTGTGTCGGTGTGGTATTATTGCTTTATTTTCCAAACTTCAGGGAAGAAGTCTCTCAGTGCTGTGTCAGAGGTGCTAGTAGCATCTTGGAAAGAAAAATCAATCTATATACAGATCAGAAATAATTCCAGACTCTTTATTTTAGACTGAATATAGTAGAGAAACCAAGGGAACTTTATGGTGTTTATCAGAGCCACCTGATGCTGCCCAGAGTCCTCTCCCAGTGAGGGATTGCAGGACTACCTCCCTGCCCATTACAGTTGGATTTTGAGTTGAGTTCTCAATATTCAGTAGCTTGTGAAGTTGGGAAGCAGTTTATTTAGCTCTGGTGTTTGCTGTGCAGTTACCTAGGTCTAAGTTAATTGTCATGGCTTTCCTTTGGAACTGATGGAAACAAATGTTTCTGGCTTATGTTTCAGAGGGAATGTGTAGTATCTCTAGGCCACACAGTATTTGCCTTCAATGAGTGGATAAGGTCACGTGATTAAAAACTGTAAACATTTAGCATTTCATTAACAGATGCTTTTGTATGGTTTCCCTTGAGAAAAGAGGAAAAATGCTTTGATTCACATGAAGAACAGCCTCTTCTCACTTAAATACACTAAAGCAAGTCCCTTGAAGTCTTAGCCAAATGCTTTCATCTGGAATTATATAATCTGTTCTTTGCAGTTCAAAATGGAACTTTTGTTCATTTTAAACATAGACTTTCCACTCTGCCTGCTATAACAAGGCCAGCTTTTTCTCCCTGTCTTTGAATAACAGAAAAACAATTACAGATTTTACAAACTTGCAAAAGAATCTATGGCTGAAAGCAAATATTTGAAAAATGCAGCCTGGGGGCAGATTATTTTGCTTTAAAATTAATAACTTGCAAACAATGTAATAAAACTAATCTGCATTAAACTTTATTGAAACTTCACTGTGTAAAGGTATCCCTGTGCTCAGTATGTAGAGGTGGTGGCCACAGTTTGTTCAGCTGCCACATTCACTAGTCCTAGGAGTATCACCCGAGGCATGCTCTCAGCATTGCAGCATAAAGACAATGATCCAATAGCCTGAACCCTTAAAGTCTGTGTTTAGAAAGTTATGTAGCCTTAAAGGGCAAAATGTGCAAATTCACCTGAACTGCTGTAATAGGTCACTATATTACAAGTTAAAATGTCATGGGTTGGGCATATGAGCTTTCTAGACAGAAGGAATAATCTGTATTACAAGTTCAGTCATAATGAGTATGAAGAGAGGGAGGAGATAATGCTTTTTTGACACTTCTGTCTTATCTGAACAGGAGCCAGAAATACCTGAAGGTCAGGAAGAAAAGAAGAAAGATTCTAAAAAGCCCAAATCGAAACTTGAAAGGAGATCTACCAGAACCCGAAAGTGCATAAGCTACAGGTCAGCAGCTTGTTAAAATAGCTTGTACAGCAAAAGTCATACTGTTGTTTCCTTTCTGCATCATCCCACCACTCCTCATGTAAACTTCTACATTTAACAGAGAAGCCCAACTAAAGTGTCTTTGTTCTTTCCTCTGAATACTCGTTATGCTCAGTGGTTGTGAGAGCATAAGGTGATATAGTGAAGGGTGATGCATTAAAAAAATGAAAATGTATATGGTGTTTTGTTCAGGAATACCGGAGAAGGTTTTGATACTACTGCAGTTTCTGGAGTGAGTTAAAGCAGGTGAATTAAACCTTTCCTTTCTCTTGCACAGGAGACTTCTGCTTGTGTCTTGAAAGGCCTTCAATTCCTAGCTCTCTTCCCCCTCCCCACCTTAGACCATCCTTACAAGAAAGGGTTATGAAACTTACAATGTAATTATCATACAGCGCATCTAAAAATGAAACTCTTCAGAGAAATATGTAACTCTTTAGAGAAATTTTGACCAAAGTGCAATTAGTAAATGAAAGTGCCATTCTGCATTCTGAAAGTAGAGTAGGTCATTAAGGTTTTCAAAATGCAGCATGATTTTAATTACAACTTTTGTTCTCAGTGTATTACCAAGTTGTTTTTATAAACTGCTTTCTAAATAATACCATGTGACACTCTGTATCATCTTCAGTCCACCAGGCAGGTAAAATGCCCTTGGGATTAGAAAATAATGTGGTTGCCTGACAGATTGTGGCAGTTTGTCCTGGATGCATTAGGAATATTAAAAAAAACCCCTCTATCTTTCCAGCAGTTGCTCTTTGTAAACCTTTATCATCAAAAACTATAACATTCCAATACTAGAATAACAAACTTTCCAACAATAACCCTCACTGGATTTATAGTCAACCTGGTTTGGCTGCTGAGGAGAGGCATGGCGTTTGTATAGGCTGGGTTTCCCAGCCTGGTCAGAGCACTCTGTCTGACTTTGCTCAGCTGTTGGATTTTGGTAACTTTTTGAATGAACAGGAGAAGTCACACTAATGAAAATGCCATTGCTGCTTTGGGAAATTAAGCATTCCTGTAGGGAATGTTGTACTACAGGCAAGACTACACAGATCTGCTGTTATGTTAATGCCAGGTCAGGCAGCATCTGACCAGGAGGAAAAAACCCCTTGCCTGTAGGGTGTGTGGCACAACTTCAGCAGGACTCATGTTGTGCAATGACAGTACATTTTTATTGAATGTAATGTTTCAGAAAAATCAGTCTTCTGATAAAAAGTGATAATATTTCTTACAGACTACATCATACACATAAGTTTGAGCTGGTGAAAATATTACACATATCAGTGTGTCAGATTTATATGTCTGCAGTGAAGTTCCACTGGTGTCACTGAAAGTTGTGACAGCAGGGGAAAATGAATGCTTAAAGTCTTATTCCACTGGGAAAGAGATCTGTATTGTGGAGTATCCTGGTTCTCTAAGGGATCTGTAATCCTTTTGTATCACTCTTCTGTTGAGTCCTCTCATGGGCAACTTAGCAATAACCTGCATCATGAATCAAGCAGCAGCAGAAGAAATTATGTTCCATTACACCAAATGGACAAGCAGCTGTCAGCTCACCCTTTTCTGAGCTCAGGTTATTTGTTAGCAGTGGTTTGAAAGCATTAAGTGATTTCTCACATTTTAAAGAGGGTTTTTTTTTTTTAGCTGTGTGGAGGGAAAGCAGTGTTTGAGTAATGTGGAACTAATCTAACTGATGGAATAATTTCAGAGTTATTTCCTTGCTGGGTAAAGCAGCCTTGAGAGTGGCATGCAATTGCTCCTAAGGAATATAAAGATATCAGAAGTCCATCACCTTATTTTTAAGGAGAAAGTGTTTTATGCTTACTATTGGAATACAGAGTAAAGTATTAGATTTCTTTTTTTCTTGTACTGCCAGAGGTTCCTATGGAGGACCAAGGTAAATATAACTGTAATCTTTCTTTCATGACTGAGAAGTGGAATCTTTAATGAACGTATTGTCCAGTTGTTAGTTGTCTGTATCTGAAAAAAATACAACAAATAACTTTTAAAAAAATGAGAAGAAGAATTTGCATCTAAATAAAAATTCTTTTCTATATAGTTAATAAAATTTGTACTTTTGCATGTTGGAGCTCAAGGCATCTATTTTTATGAACAGGTAACAATCCTTTTTTATGGAATTTGAATTCATAACTGAAGAAACAAACTGAGGTCATCTGTGTTGAAAGGATTGGATCTTTTTTCTTCAGTTTACTCTTCTCTTTAAATGAGCTACTCAGGGTGCAGAGATTTATGCAGTTTTATAAAAGCTGTTGCAGTACAAGCAGATTCAAAGACTGCCTTTGTTTGTCCTATTCAGTTATGTAACATTGCATTGCAACTTACTTATGTAGATTTATGAGGAACTCTGTACTTTGTGTTTTATTTTATCTGTTCAGCTTAGAATGTTGCAGATCCCCAAAGTATCATGAGCTTTAAGAGTAGAAAGCAGCTATGTGCAATCAGTTCTGAAGGAAAATGTGGACAGGAAAAAAAGAGTTGTACATTGAGTTTAATAGATGATTCTCAGGCTGTTTTGAAGGTTGGTAGAGCTAATGTAATCTAATAAAAATTGTGGAAAAAATGGTGAGTACTTTGTATCAAAATGCTATTGAAACCATTTTAAAGAACTTCCAGATTATATATGTTTAAATTCAGACGCCTGTTGTGTAAAATGGAAGGGGATTTCTGTTCATGTAACTCAGTAGTAAGACAGACAATGGTAAATATTCCTCAAGCAAGAAGAAGTAAGAAACAGAGCTTTGGTAATAAAATAGCCAATTTTAAAAAAATTCTGGCCCATTATTTCAGTTAATTATATATCCAGCCCACTCTGTGCATTGTAATTTCTTCAGATTTGAGGTATGTGTTTGTAACGATTTAATTACTGTTCACTTCAAAGTGGTAAATGGAAGCTGTTATTTTTAGGTTTGATGAATTTGATGAGGCAATTGATGAGGCAATTGAAGATGATATCAAGGAGGCTGATGGAGGAGGTATGTTTCTTATGTTACTTGTTTTTCATTGCAGTGGTGATGGAGATGGAGAGCAAATTTATTTTGATATGAGAAGCAATAAATATAACCCTCTCCCTTTAAACTCTGTAGTTTGCCAGGGGTATTTTTTTACTGCTGTATTTTGGAGTGGCCATCCCATACTGCCAAAAGTTGTAAGAAAATTAGTAAAAGTTGATAGTTAAATCTAGCCTGTACAGGTTTTTATATATGTAATGAGTAAGTTTTGGATTTGAGATTGGAATGGCAGCAGTGCTATGGACATTTGTCCCCTGTAAAAAGAGGACTCACAAATTGGTCTGCAGTTGCACCCCCTAAAAGTCTGGGTGTAGGAAATTGTCTTAATATTCATTCAGCTCTATTAGCACTTCTTATCTGAACACAAAAAAAGTGAAATTCTGTTCTTTGTTGCCTGTTAAGGCAACATGGGACCAAACCAGAGATCTTCAGCAGTATCTGAGAGGGATGGAGGTGGATTTGGCTTCTGCCTCACCTTAACTTGCCTGAAGAAAACAGCCATGAAACATTGTCCCTCAGCTATTTGGCCTGTGGCATCTCCAGACACTCACCAGTTTCAGAAGCTCGTGGATGTAGGCAGACAATCTGCAAATCTGTGGGTGTGTAACACAAGGTCCATTACAGTAAACATAACTAAATCTCAACACTAAAACACCTTTTCAAAAACTCCACTTCTTGGCCAAACCACAACTCAAACCCTTCATCTCCTAAGAAGGATATTCAGCATTATGAAAAAAGTGTATTTTCTGGTAATTTCCCTCTCAAAAGGCACTGGCATTGTAATAGTGTGGTTTGGGGTTGGGTATTAGAATGCAGACACTTAACCATGACCTTCTGCATGGATGTCAGTATTTCCAAGTGACCACATCTGGGCTGTGTGTGTCAGCAGCAAGACTCTGGACATAGTCTTGCTTGACAAGAAAATACTCTGCTTGACAGAAAATAAACTGAAGGTAGGCACATGCAAGAAAGATCTGTAGAAAGTTCAACAAGAAAATAAACTTGCGATTGTTTCCCCTTTCTCTTACTGAATTCAGGCATTGGCAGAGGCAAAGACATGTCAAATATCACAGGTCACCGTGGGAAAGACATTTCCACAATCCTCGAGGAGGAAAGGAAGGAGAACAAGCGACCACAAAGGGCTGCTGCAGCACGACGCAAGAAACGACGGCGACTAAATGACTTGGATAGCGACAGTAACATGGATGAAGAAGAGAGTGAGGATGAATTCAAGATCAGTGATGGGTAGGTCTGCAATTTAATTTCCACCACAAGTCACTGACCTTTGCAGCTTCTGTGACTCTGGAATGCCTCATCAGGCATCCATCAGGAAATGATCATCAGGAGCATGTTCCCAGTGCTGGAATGGCACTGTACATTGCCAGTAAAAGTCAGAGAATGATAGAATGGTTTGGGTTGAAAGGGACCTTAAAGATCACCCAGTTCCAAACCCCCTACCATGGACTCCGGCCATGGGGAACATTGTACTGGAAAAACTGCATTCTGGATCCATGTGCTGACATCATCCAATCTGTATTTTAAGCATAATACATGCTGGAAACAATACTGTGATGTTTGAGGCCTTACTACAGGCTTCTGTTAGTGAAGGAGCCAGGTGGGCTCAGTTCTCTGGCTGATGTGACTGTCAAGCAGAAATCTGTAACAAAAATGTAGCTAAAATGAGGCTGGTTGTTCTCTTTTAAAAATGAGAGTTGAAAATTCCTGCTTTGTAGGATTTTTTGGCCTTGTTGTCATTTGGAAATTGGAAGAGGAAATTTTTCATTATTTAGAGCATACAAAACCTGTCAGGCAGATTCTGAAATTAGTTCTTGATTTGCTGCTTTGTAGGAAGTAGATTTTGAAAACAGTCAAAGAAATGGCTTATACTGTAAAAAACAAATACATGTCATTGCTCTGGCTGACTGAAACTCACTTTCCACAGAATTTCTCCTCATTCAGTCTGGGCAATTACTGATGTTAAAAAAAAATGATAATTTTAGATTACCTTTATGCCTTAATGAAGCAACATAATAAAGCAGGCATGAGGCTGTAGGCTCTTTACCAGCAACTTTTAAAGCTTTATACCAATCATTGAGTCAATTTACTAAGTGTATGGAAAATCTATACAAGATAAATGCAAATTTTGAGCTTTGTTTTTCACCTGTGACCATGCTGAGGACATTTCATTGGCACCCTGAATAATTGAGCCACACATGCTGGAAATTTCCAATCAATGAGTGTAGCTTGTGGAAATGTCACAGAATTAATAGTGCATTGATCTGTTAAAGTGTGCTCATGCATTTTCAACTCCATCCTCTGCTTAGGGCCTTCTGGATCTTACACTGGAATTTAGATTCAGCTGGCAGCTAAATGCAAGTGACTGTGTACCTTCAGTGTTCGATGGTTTTTAAAAAAGCCTGACTCACTTGAAATTATGGGAATGTTACCAGCTTATAAGGTTGTGAGGTGCATGTTTTGCATTAGAGCCATAGTTTTGTATGAAGACACAATATTCTAATTCTCAGAAATTGTGTGGGACAGTTCTGGGTTTGTAAAGGAAAGGTCACCTTTGCTAGGACATTGTTGGTGTTTTTTCCCTCCACAGTTACTGCTGTGCAGGCATTACATTGCAGTGAACAATATGAACACTCTAGAGTCTGTCCTGTGTTAATGCCAGCTGCAGTGTTGGTTTGACAGAGTGTTTATATCCACCTGCTGTTGTAGTCTGCTGTGTGATGTCATGCACTGTAGAGCCATGTCCCAAACACACAGCTGAAACCTCATGTCAGTGATGGCAGCTGGCCCTCTCTGAGTCTTTGCTCCTCATTATAAGATTTGTGCTTTTTTTGTTTTGTGTAAAATGGTACTTATCACTTGCTTGTAAAATACAAGTACTAGTTCAATCCTTTGGTTGTAATACCCATCTCTGTTGTCTGGGGTTTTCCTTTGCAGATCTCAGGATGAGTTTGTTATATCAGAGGAAAATCTGGATGAAAGTGAAGATGACCCACCATCAAACGAGGACAGTGACTCCGAGTTCTGCGCCCGCATATCCAGGCGACACCTCTCCAGGCCCATGAGGCAAAGCAGGCGGTTACGAAGGAAAACAGTCAAGAAAAAATACTCTGAAGATGATGAAGATGAAGAGTCTGAGGACAATTCAAGCAGAGAGTCTGGTGAGTACAAGCAATCTTTGATATTTTAAAAACTCTCTTCTGGAGAGAGAGAGAGAGAAGGGCAGTCTGAGCTTCTGTCACGACTGACTAGCTTGTTTGCTTGCTTTGCTCAAGTCAGATGTCATCTTTGCTGCGAAGCAGTTTGCTACTTGTTCTGCTGTCAGTATTTTTCAGGAAACTGATATTGAGCACTAGGTTCTTGGCATTTCTAGGTAATGATGTATTTACATAAATGTTTGTGCTATGATTCTAGAGGCCACCATTGTGGATAGTTGCAGCTACCTCTATACCTGTCCTGTTTGGCACGGGATTATAGGAAGGAGGATGGAGACAAAAGTGTGCTTCTTTATAGCTAGTAGAAGACCTTCTGAACACAGCTATGAAAAAGATTCTGAAAGAAACATTTTCTGTCACTTTTATGGAAGAAAACTTCAGTTGTATGGCATTTTGTGTTTTCTGGGAGGCTTGAAAGCAAAGAATAACACCTTGAATCTCTTTCTCCTAAAATTATCCTTAAAATCTTTAGTAACTGAAGACTTTGCATCACAAGAGAACCTGATAATTCACTTTATTCTACTTGTCCTTCAACTACTTCATTTTCTGTTGGCATGGTTTGAAGTGTGAGAATAGTGCCTGTGCACTACATAAAACTCTTCATGATCAGCATCTTTCTCTGAAGACAGTCCTCCTTGTTTCTGCTTCATTTGAGAACAGACTAGGAAGTGCCATATACATAAGCATTCATTTTTTCTCACTCTTATTGTGAATTTAAGGTTCTAACTATAATGGAATGTTAACTTGCTGCAGTGTGTGTTATGTTACCAGTGTTTTATTTGTCTGTCTAGATTATAGATGATGAACATGTTGGAGTAAATTGGTTTGGAATACTGATTTCCAAAAGAAAGGTTCATACATGGACAGATGAAGACAACTATAGGAGTGATTAGAGTGATTGTTATCTCCCTGTCCTCAATGCATCATTGCATTGCTCTTATCAATAAAGATACTGGCAGAAGTCTAAGGAGATTGCTTATCTGTTCTGTAATGCACAAGAACAACTGTTTGTTTCCTGGTGGACATACATCTGTGATAAAATCAACTGATTCCTGTATCATTCCATATATATATATATCTAAAGTATAACGTTAGCTGCATGTTTCTCTTTCTCTCTTACCTTCATTATTGTCCATCAGGATTTTGCTTTAAGCCTGTTTTCAGCTAAGAAAATCAGGTGCCCTGCAAGAGGTTTTATTTTCAGTCTCCAGAGATGGAATTTCTTTCTGAAGCTAGTTGTTCTTGCTGACTCGCTCTGTTTCTTTGTCTAATATTTTAGGAAGTAAAGAGGATGCCACTTTGATCTGTGGCTCATATCAATCTCTAACTTAGAAATAGTGTGTGACTTTTATAGAAATGTATCTTGGGATAATGGTTCTGGCATAGCTCAGTGAAAAGCAGATGAAGTTGATTTGAGGCTATTTTCAACTGATGTAAATAAATTTAATTTTTGAAGACTCTAGCTGCAGTAGACTGGTGCAGGAAGAACTGTAATTGATGGTAAGTTTCTTCTGTATGGTTTCTGTTTTAAGCAAACCCACGATTGAGTGAAACTGGTTTTTGTTGTTAACTTATATAACTCAGGTCTTGGAATTTCATCTTGTCAGTCATTTTTCATCTACCCATTCTTAAAAGTCTTCCAGTAGAGTACACATTATTTGAATTTTAAAAGCAGAACAGACTCTCCTGAGGCACTGGTAATGTGTGCCATCAACTCCAATTCAGTAAGGTTGTTTCCACTGTCAGGAGTTGTAGAGAAGTCTTTGACACCAGTAGAGATGAGGCAACAAAAACACCATAAGGGAAATATCTGAATTAGGAAACTTACCTAAATTTTTTTATGTGAGGCAGTTTTGCTTTGATGGTCTAATGCACATCACTATTTTGTTCCACACAGAGAGTGGTGATTACACAGATTACAGCGATGATGACTACCTGGAAACTAGGAGGAGAAGATCAAGAAGGAATCAGAAGAGACAAGTCAATTATAAGGAAGATTCAGAAAGTGATGGCTCACAGAAAAGTGTCCGATATGGGAAGGAGTTGAGAAGAGTTCATAAACGCAGGCTCTCCACTTCAGATAGTGAAGGTAAAATAAACAGTCCAACACTTCCAGGAGCATGTGTATGTCAGCATCAGCACAAAGGGAAAGATATGTAATTCCAAGATTTCAGAGAATTGTCTTTCTAGAGTTCCTTGATGTTTCTCAGAAACTCTCCTTCTGAAACAGCCCACTGGTACTTTATGATGCACTGAGTCACTTCTCAAATTTATCATTGCCCCTAATCCTGACTTACAGGTCTGAATTTACTGACATAGAGTGTTGGGATTCCAAATTTGGCTGTAATACAGCTGTTTCAGCACTTTTCTGTTAAGAGGTCACAAAGCTGCATCCCACCAGCCTCTAAAGATTCTCTTATGTAAGAGGAAGGGCATTGCCACTGGTGCCCTGACTGTGTTTGTGCTGGTGGTTCAGACTCGTTCCATCTCCTGTTTAAGGAGCTGTGCCAAGTGCAGAGGAAGCCTCTCTCAGTAATGTCAGGCACACCATGAGTGGTTGGCGTGCTTTGTGATTTATAATTAATTAGCTTTTACAAAATCAGCCACTGGTTTTGGCTGTTTTGGATTGCGGGTGCCTGGATTATCAGACCTTAGCTCTGGCTTTCCAAATGCTGAGCAATGGAAGTTGCAATGGATACCAGACTTCCTCAGAAAATGGGCTGTCCTTTGGCAGTCTGAGTGCCTCAGTTTTGGAAGGGCTCTCCTGAGATTACAGAGTGGTAGAGTATCTTCTAGGTGAAGGGAAACAAGTATGTGATGCAAGTCTGTAGTGTCTCAAAAACATGATCTTCAATACAGCCTGTTCTCAGGCTCTGTGGTGGCTTTTTTTACCCAGCACTTGTGGCTTTAAACATTCCCTGATTGACATTGTCTTTTCTTCATGAAGTCCCATTTCCTCAGGTATTTTAAGTACTGGCTTTCTGTGTATTAAAATCAGCACCATTTGGCACCTTTCCAGCACTGTCACACAGTTCCCACAGTATATCATGAAACACGTAACAGTGTTACTGGAATTGCAATTACTTTAAAAATAGAGGAACACTGACAGTCTCAATTAACTTGAACCTACATTAAATAATACCCTTTAAAATGAAAATTCCCATGATTTCTATTGGGAATCACAAAGAGACAACAAATAGTTTGCCATTTTGATTTTTCAGTTTCCATCTTTTCTCACCACAGCCACCAAAGATGAGTGTAAAGGCTGTCAGGGTGTAGGCAGTATTCCAATTTCCCAAAACACTAAGCCTCCCATTAAAAGAAGTTGTATATAATTTGGGGGTGGCAGGGGTATAGTACAGCTTTGTGTGTGTGTGTGTGTAGATACATGAATTTTATGATAGAGCAGGCATTATTTGGGTTCTGAGTTTCTGTCAAGGTACAAATAAAGCTCATACGATGAGATGAGGAGTGCAGTTGGAGTTACCAGTTTTAGGGGAGAGCACACCTACTTCCAAAGCCTCTGGTACTCTTCAGATTGGAAACAGAATATCCGTAAATTATTAATACTTGCTACATTAGAAGTTAATTTAAAAATTAGAAAGAATGCAAGCCTTTTAGCTTGGCTGGGGAACCTGGGGAAGGAGGCAGAAGTGTGTGTGCTCAGAGAGCTGTCTTGTTGGTGAGTGTGGAAGATGAACAATAAATGTTGCACTGAGATTTGCTCTAAGTCTGCTGCTTCTTTCAGAGAGCTACACATCTAAGAACTCTGAAGATGATGAATCCACAAAGGAGTCCAAGCGATTGATTCGAAAACGTCGGCGAAGTACAGATGACTATTCCGAGGAAGAAGGAGAGGATGAGGAGGAAGAAGGGAAGCCTGTCCGCAAACGCCTGAATCGAATTGAGACTGACGAGGAAGATGCGTGCGAAAACGCCAACGACAACGCAGAAACCCCCGCTCCCGCAGATAAGCTGCCAGCAGCACAAGCCCCCCCAGACAACCCCAAGAAGCACTGCTACCGGATAGAGAGTGATGACGAAGATGACTTTGATAATGTAGGGAAAGTAGAGAGCCCTTTGGACTACAGCCTGGTGGACTTGCCTTCCACCAACGGACAGAGCCCAGGGAAAACCATTGAGAACTTGATTGGCAAGCCAAGCGAGAAGACCCAGGCCCCCAAGGACAGCACAGCCAGCGCCAGCCTGGCGCCCAACGGGACAGGCAGTGGGCAGGAAGCGGTAGGGCCGGAGGAAGATGAAGATGAACTTTTGAGAGTGACTGACCTTGTTGATTACGTCTGTAACAGTGAACAGTTATAAGACTTCCATTTTTGTGCTAATTTATTCCACGGTAGCTCATACCAGCGGGCCAGTTATTAAAAGTTGTTTTATTTTTCCTAGAAAATTCTCCACTACAGTATCACTTTCTAGAAGCAAGAATTTCACCAGTCCTGCAGTCTTTCTGTGAAGTGACCAGTTTTGAACTTTGAAGACGAATTGCTGTAAATTCCCTCTCTTACCCCCCCTTCTCCTTCCAAGTCCATGGTCCTGGGTAATTTCACTCACAAAAACCTTATAACAACAAGAGATTTGTATATTTTTGACTTTATATTTCCTGAGTGCATACAAATTTGTGGAAATGGGTGGCCTAAGAAAGCATTCCAAATCAGTCAGGGCCCAAACCGGAACTGGGGTGGGTTTGGCTCAGGGGGTGGGGGGACGGGAGGGGGGTGGTGCAGAAGCACTTGTGCTTTAGCTTTTTCATATGAGATATATATTATATTTAAATGTTCACAACTTAGATTACAACTTAACAGACAGTTAAAAGCAAAATTAATGTCTGTACTGTCGCATTTTGTGAGTTGTAGGTTAACATACCATAGCTCATTTTAGTAATCACCTTCATGGAAGCAGTTTGATTTTAATACTGGAGGCAAACAGAATTATTAGAGGCCAAGAAGGTACCATAAACAAGAACTCTGCTATTCATTATGACTTGCAGACTTTCCTAATAAACATCCTTTAAAATGTTTGTACAGTGAAGTGTACTGTAATGAAGTTTTTGACAGTCGAAACACTTTAGCCATGAATTTCTAAAGTGATCTCATGCACAGTTCATCAGATGGCCTTCAATGCACAGTGTCTAGTGGGAGGACGTATTGATGTCAAGTAAGTCTGTAAGCACTGCAGACTTTTACAGACAAAAGAACCCTGCAGTTGCTGCCCGGCCATGTGAGTTTCATAACCAGTTGGAGTATTCTGAACAAAATGTGTTTGTACAAATGGCATTGACCACAGAATGACAGTGCATAAGAGGATGGAGGGATTTTCAAATAAACTATGACTGGTCCATTCATGCCCTTAATATCTACTTCAAATTGAAGTAAACAAATGGAACAGTTTTCCTTTTGGAGGTTTCCTGTTTGGGGTTTATGTGTGTTTTGTTTTGGTTTTGCTTATTTGCCTGGATGTATTAGCAGGTTTTGAATGTAGTTGTTGGCCTTTGGCCATTAGAATTTTCTTAAAATACATTTTAATCACTACCATGTGACCAACTGATTTCAAGAAGGCAGAGTTTCTGAGAGAAAACGCTTGACTCCAAGACATCCCATCAACTTTCCAGCAGGCGTGAAGTGATATGTGCTTTTATTCAAGGGGAGAAAATAGACATTGGAAGAACAAAAACCCCACCAAATCAACATGGGGCACATCAAGAGCATTCAGTTTTCTCTGTACTCTGATTAAGATGCAGGCTGTAGCATTTGTACATGTTATAGGACACAGGCAGCTCAAACAGATCTGCCAAACATTGAAATCCAAAAAGGTCACATCTGTTAATCCTTTTGCTCTGAGATTTGGATTTTTGACTGGTGTTTATGTCCATTGCCGGCAATGGATGCACCAAAGCTGCTGCTGCCACTGAGGAGTGAGTTCTCCTTTCCTGCCCCACCTGATTCCCTTCCATTATATTGTATTTACTAGTTAGTCATTAAGCACTTCTGTTTTCTTGTACTAAAACCAGCATTAGGCCTTTACTAAATACCTCTCTAGAAAACCTAGATCCAAATTTTACCTACCTTCTGGCCTTTAAAATATTGGTTTTGTTTCCCCACCCTTTCTCCCCAAGTCTGTCAGAACCACTCTGTGACTTTTACTCCTTTGGATTCTAGCAGTGCACACATCATGCTATAAAACTAGGATCAGAAAGATGCAAAAAGATGGAACTTGCTCATTATCTGCTGTGCTAGGCAGGCTTGTGATTAAAAACAAAGAGAAATCACTCTCTACATGACAATGTAATTTCATCAAAGATTAAATGTTTTCCTACCTTACTGATGTTAACAATTAACAGTTAAATTATTAAAATGGGGTAGTGAAGAGCGACAGAAGATTAGAATGAGTTCTTAAAGGCATATGTAGCATTTTAAGCTGCTCTAGTGCTTTTCTTTGCCTAGGTGATGCATAAATGCAGTACTTCTAAATTCTAATATACTTGTGTTAGGACAAGTAAGAACATAAGGCTTCCACTTGTCCATGATAGTAGTTGCTGAGCATTTTTAATTCTTTTAATTCTTGCAGTGCAAACTGATTCACATCCATCAACTCTGTGGAATCTATAGTTCTTCACTTGTTTTGCCAGTGCCATGTTTTCATTTGCTGCCTGATTGAGCCTTTTATTATCTGATCAAACATTCTTGCTTGTAGAGTCAACTCCAAATGCTAAATACTTAGTGGGGAGGTACTTGTGTGTGTAAGAAAATTCAAAAGATTTACAATTCCGGATATACCAATCGTGAGAAAAATTGAGTACTGAGTTAGAACAGTGTAAAAGCAGGAAAGACCAGGAAGCAAAATAGGAGCATTGATGCTTGCATCAGAAGTGTCATATTTTAAAAATCGCCAGTTGTTACCAAATTGTACTTTCTATAGGTCTCTTCTTAAAAGCAACTTTTCTGTCTTCTAAGAAGTCACCCTTGGTGCCTGAGATGGCTTCATCCCATAGGATCTAGAGTTCCTCCTCAGATTGGTGGGAATGATGTGCAAGGAAAAACTGCAAAAAATGCTCTGGAAAGTATTACCATTTTAAAACTTAGTATTTTTGTCATTTTTAAGGCTTCCTGTTGGTGGAAAATGCATCATCTCCTATTTGGGAAGATGGCATTTTCTGACAAGAGGCCAGCTATCACCCAGGGTTCATACCATTACAGTATGTATATGTGATTCCAGAGTGAAAAGGTCTTCCTGGTGTCCTTACAGTCTTGTGCCCTTCTGTGCTCAGTGTGAAATCAGGAGTTAGTTGTCTTTGAACAGTGATCTTCAGGTGTAGGTTTGGGCTTAAAGCTTAAACTGTATGGGAAATGGGAAACAGGCCAGGGATTGTTTTTAATGAGACCAAGCAGCTACTGGCTGAACATGCTGAGCATTTCTTCAGCAAACTCTTGTTTATTCTACACAGATTATCACTAACAGCTTTGTCTTTTTTTACCAGCAAGCTCTTTTATATATAACTGACTGGGAGGAAAACTGATTTCTATGTGTAGTCTAAGTAGCACTGCTGGGAAGAAGAACATATGGATCAAGTGGAGGAGTGGATTTTTTGCCACCAGGATAAATGCTGGCTGTTTGCTTCCCTGTGTGGGGCTTCTATGACTCAGTGACAAAAAGCACACAAGCAGGGCCACTGCAGTAATGAATGGGGTGTGTTAATCTAAGCAGTAGGGGGATAGAATTAACAACTGGGTTGGTTTCACCACAGTTGCTGTCTTCTGGTTGTTGAGTCTGATAAACCTGAGCATATTCTTTATATAAGATGGAAAGTGGCATCATATTTAACAACCCTTAGTTAACAAGGTCAGTGCTGAACAATCAACTCTTTGATACTTCATTTTGTACATGCTGAATTACATTTTAAAATCACTGCATCTTCCTGACTATTTTTTTTTTTGAATGAATAGATTGTTCTGGTCTAGCAGCACTTAAGAGAAATGAGCGACGCTTTTTTCCTTAAAAGCTCATTTTTGAAGTGTCACCTTCAAGATTTTGTTGTACTAAGTGTCTCGACTACTCTCCATATTATGGGAGCTAATGACTTAGTTGGACTTGTTTTCTGTTCACTTCTGTTTCCTAATTGCTGTATCTGAACTTTTGGTGAGAGACCTTATATTGAGAAGCTCAAGGGGCAAAAGATGTATGTTCACAAAAGAAAAATTGTATGGTAGTGGTACACTTGTTCTGATTTCTCTTTACATCTATTATTTAAACTACACTGGTATCCAGATGCTGCGACTGGGTAATAATTTTATTCCTTCATTGTAAGGGGGTCCATTTTATACCTCTCTTTTCAGGTGCTTATAGTAACATGGTTTTCAGTTTTTTGCAGTAGGAAGCTCTAGTCTAAAACTTCAAATAATGATTTCAAATCACATATTTTTACAAACTTCTTTTATGAAAAGTAAACAAGGAGTTTTTATGGCACCTGCTTTTTTAAATTCACTTTGCACACAGTGATTTAAATAAATCTTGGCAGTAATGTTTGCCCCCAGAACTGGTCTGACAAAGAGATTTGTACCATCTAATTAAAAAAAGCTTTATATAGGCCTTGAAAATTTGGTTTGATACATGTGCAGTGACTACTATTCACAAACTTGTAATGTGGTTCTGATGTGCAGCTTGTACCCTAGGTATGTATTTGCATTTGATGTATGCCTCTGATCCGGTGGGTAGATAAAGTCCTTAAATATATACATAAATATATGTAGAAGATCCAGTATCTTCAAATGAAACAGTAACTTTGGGGGGGAAATTGCACTGAATATGTTATGGGAATCTCTAGAAATTAGGCAGCAGAATTTTTGCAAGTCCTTAAGTGTTCAAAACTTCCGTGGAAGCATTTAGGATATTGTCTGAAGTAAGGATTTACAGGATCAAGATCACATTTGCTGGTAGTGTCTTCTGCCTCCTCTTCCCTAACAGTTAGCATAGGGACTGTATCTCACGTAAAATGTTGGAAGGCAGAAAGTAAAAAAAATCCAGCAGAAATTATCCATTGGGGGGGGGGGGGGAGGGGTTTGTTGTTTTGGTTATGGGTTTTTTTGCTGGTATATCCTGATATAAGAAAAATTCTTTGACTAATTTTTGATGCTTTACTCAGTCTGAGACCTAACGGAGAGCTCTGGCTTCAGAAATATTTATCAGTTGGAAATTATTTCTGGAGACCCAGCAATTGGGGTATTGAGGATTACTACTCACTTTGGAAAGTCTTTGGAAAGCCACTTACCAAGCTCTTCTTTTAGATTAGGTGTAACTGAGGTAGTTACACCTAACTAAACAACAAAACAACTAACTGAGGTAGTTACACCTAACTAAACAACAAAAACGTGGGAATGGTTGTCCAAACACTTCAGAGTAATTTAACTTTGTACATTGCAGAAGATATATATTGCTAAGTATAACACATAAATAAAAGATTGCAGAGAGCTTCTGGGGGAAAGAATAAAACACTCTACAGTAGATAAGTTTTTAGAGTTGAATCTGTGGTGTAAAGCATTCAGATTCAACTGCAATTAGAAGCAAGTCTTACAGCCTTGGTTTTTGACTATCATCTTGTAA